GTGAAATTTGGTATTATATTTTTTCTCCAAAATATCTAATTGCTTAGATTTTTTAATTTTCTGAATAAAACATTTTATTTTTGACATTTTGAGTTTTGGCATTTTTATTTTCTTAAATGTCTTCCGGTAGTTCAAACATTCTAATATTACAAACATCTTTACAATCCTATGATTGTTGAGAATTTGAACTACCGGAAGACATTTAAGAAAAAAATGAAGAAATTCAAAATGACAAAAATAAAAGGTTTTATTCTGAAAAAATTAAAAAAAATCTAAGTAATTAAATGTTTTGAAGAAAAAAATAAAAATATCAAAATTTCCTAAGTACAATTGACCGAAAATGTGAAAAGATATAGTGGAAAATGGCTTAAACAAACCCTTATATTTATAGGCTTAACATGAGTATTTTCGTCATATTTTGGAAAAAATATAACAGTAGGGGGATTTTTGTATTTTTGTGTAGTACATGAGTATATGATACAAAGTCCATAGTACATGGGTGTTTTTGTATTTAACCCTTATTATTATCCTTCTCAGCAGGTAACAATGGAGGTCATCGGACATGGTCATATTGGGAGGAGGTGAAGGTGATTTTGGTCCATGAAAGGGAAAATTCTATGAACATTGATGGAACAAGTGGAAATTCTACTAGTTTGAATGAATTGATTGGGTTAGTCTGATATATATATATATATATATATATATATATATATAACAAAAAGAAAAAAAATCGGCCGAGGCGGCTGATTAATCGAACTCCGAGGCGGAGGCGGTCGCAAACCTTTACGATTTTAATGTAAAGATTTGAAAAATCGAGTTTTTGCATGTGAGGCGGTTTTGGGCGGTTCGAGGCGGTCAAACCATTAAGGCGGGTCAAACTCGGTGGCAAAAATCGACTAAAAATCGGTCAAAAATCGGTTTTTCTTTTTTAATTCAAAATAAAAGTTGGGATTTTAATAAAAAAAATGAGTTTATGCTTTATTTTGTTTATGTTAACTGTTATTGTTAAAGAACTAATGATGTATGCCATGAATGTTCAAGAATAAATGTAAATTAAAAAACACATTTTAATCTCCTTCGCAGGACAGGACAAAAACACATAAGGATCACTTACGGAAGAATTCTAGAAGACCACAACTAGGTTTGAGGCAATGGAGGTACATTTTGCGTACAAGGAGCTCAATGGTGCAGCGAACATCTTCGCAAAGACTGGATCGACTATAAATAGTGGGCTTTTTAGTTAGGGCTTTTCAGCATCCTGTACCGAGACAACATCCAGTGTCGAGACAGTACTCCTAGTAATTCAGTTTTTTGTTACTGGTAAGCATTCATCAATTGATTTGTTCTGAAAAAACACATTCATCAATTGATTTGTTCTGAAAAAACACATTCATCAATTGATTTTAACAAACATAGCCCTAAGTAGGATTAAAGATATTAACTGTAGGTGATTTGAATTTTGGGCATCAATTGGTAAACCCAATGTGGAAAATAATTAGTGTGCATGTTTTGACGGCCCAGCGGCCCAATTAGGTTTATCACATTAGTCGAGTTGCTGTTCTACCTGTCCTTCAGGCAGGTTACCACAGAATTTCAGCATTTGGGACAAAGGAATTGAAATCGGCATAATTCAAAGAAGTTAGTATGGGACGATACATGATGGTTCTGGTTGTGTACAGAGGAAATGAGTAACACGAACAAGCTGTGGGATAATTCAAAACCGGTCATATGTAGTGACAAAACGGCAACACAACAAAAATCAAAACACTAAATATTTGACATAAATAAGATAAGCACTGTTCCATTGAGCATGATATATTTTACAAATATAAAAAGATTCTAGACGCAGAAAACAAAGATAAATATGGTTCACAACCCAGTTATATTAAAACAAACACAATTTGCCTTAAATCGGCAAATTTGCTTCCCTAAACCAGGTATCACCTGCAAACGGAACAAAAACATGGTGTTAAGTACTGGTGAAACACATACACCTGAAAGCTGCTGGATCATAAGTTTTGGTACCACAAACTCAAAGGACATTACTTCATACACTACAGTGCAATAATTGAATGTTTAGCATGTGCGCAAAAATTCAATAAACTATGTAAAAGATAAAGTAGAAATAAAGATCACCAATTTCAATTGACTGTCAAATAAAGATCACCAATTTCAGAAAATAAAATGAAAACTTACCTATTCGTTAGGTCAATCAACAATACGAACACTCTGTACATCAATTTTGCCAATTCCGTAGTAAATGACTGTTTGGAAATGTTTGGCAACGGCATCACCAGGCTTGATGGCTGTAAATCCCAGATGCAATACGTAACCGGCGCACTGACTTTGGATTGCTCCCACCATGTCCACCACACTGTATTCTGTATGCTACACAAATATACGAACCAAAACCAATTAAATGTCGACCGAAAAAGAACCAGAAACAAATTAAATGTAACCAAAAAAAAAAAAAAAAAACATACGTGTTTGTTGTTGTAAGAATTAATTGCTAGTTGCGCAGAACCCCGGAGAGATTGCAAAGTTTTGGGATCATTGCCTATAAGAGATGGCTCATACACCAGGCTCGAACCTCCCTGTATGTAAATTGAAGCTAATTAAATTATCTGAACATATGAAAATATAATAAATTGGAGAAAATAAAATAAAAATGGGGGAAATTTCATACAGAGAATGATGGAATCTTCTTTTTATTCTTGGGGCGGGGGCGCTTCATAGTAAACGGATCATCTTCATTAGATTGATGAATCAGCAGCTGTTGGATACTTAACATGTGCTCCTCCGCATCGAATTCCGCCTCATCTAACTCCTTCTTCTTCTTAACCCTCTTCTCTAACTCAACCTTATCCATATCCAGTGACAGTCTTTCACCCATATACAGATCCACATCCCGTTCCAGTACTTCATCCTCATCCGGTTCGGATCCGGAGTCGGGTTCAGAATCCGATTCCAATTCGGGTTTCTCCCCTTGCAATTTACTCAATTGTCTGAGTATCTTATTGATCCTTAACTTGAAGTTGTTCGCCTTTATTTTCGACGATTCATCGTTCTCCATACCCTCAAGCAATTCCTTCAGTACTCCATGTATCTCGTTGATCCTTAAACTGCGATTCTTCCTTCTCTGTTCCGAAGCGTTCACACCAGCCATCTCTCTATCTCTCTCTTTATCTCTTTCTCTCTCTAATCCACCGCACGCAGAGTCGTAAACGAAGCCCTAATTATAAAACAGGGGAAATTTTTGTGAGAAGAGGCCAGAATTTGATATAAATTTTCAGTTCTGCCCCTATAAATAAATAGTCCTCTTCGATTTTTTTTATTTTATTTTTGCCTAATTGCATCTAGGACCCCAGTTAAATACCGAATTGCTCAAATAAGCTTAAAACTTAGGGATGACAACGGGTTGGTTCTGGGCCGGGTTTTCCTGAACCCAATACCCGACCCACGAAACATATATAAACTCAAGACCCGTCCCGTCCCAACCCGTTTTAGGTTAGACCCAGACCCGCCCCAACTCAGACCCTAACTAAACGGTTTTGACCCGCCAGACCCGTTAACATACAAAAAGTTTACTATTTTTTAACTTTCATAACATTTTGCTTGTATATTTTTACGTAATAATCTCAATACTAAAATACAATTATTTTAAAACATCTCTCCAAGTGATATAAATTAATTACAATTAATCATATTTAACTTCGATAATAAGTAAAATTCAAAATGCAAGACAATTAGCAGTTGTCGACAAGTGATAAATATTAATCATGAGAAATGAGATTCGAAAAATAAAACTGTGAAAATAGATAAATGGGAATAGACAAAATGAAAATTGATATACATACATACATATATATATATACGGGTCGGTTCTGGGTCGATTCCAATAAGACCCGTCACCCGACCCAGAACCATCCGGTTCTAAAAATTTAAACTCATTACCCGACCCAAAATCATTTAGCTGACCCAGACCCGTCCTAGACGGGTCGGTTCCGAGTCCAAGACTCGTCAAACCCGTACCCATTGTCATCCCTATTACAATTTAACAAAGTAGGAAACGACCCTATATTACATTGATTCTATTATAAATAAGCCCATCATGAGTAGGGGTGCTAAACGAGCCGAACCGACTCGTGAGTTCGATGAGTCAGCTCGAACTCGAACTTGAGTTTTTCGAGCTCAATCTCAGGCTCGCGAGCCTTACTTTTATTTCTTTATTTTTAATTTTTATATATTATTTTTATTTAAATAATATATGATAATATAAAATATTACATAAATAAATAAATATGAATATAAATATTAAAAAAATATATATATAATTACAATTTATTATTTATTTTGTAATTTTTTTTAAATAAATTTTAATAATAAAAAAATAAAATTAATAAAAAAATAAAAATAAAAAAAACAATAAATCGATTTGGGCTCGAGCTCGAACTCGAGCAAAAGAAGAATGAACTCGACGAGCTCTCGAGCTCGAGCTCGACAAAATAAACTCGAGCTCGAGCCTACCAAAAGAGGCGTGCTTGTCTCGTTCACACCCCTAGTCATGAGTCACTTATTCATAAAGGGGCCCAAACAAAAAAATATTTTACAGAAAAACCCAGAAGTTGTCCTGATGTGTGTGAAAGATTAAAATGCACCCTCACGTTTAAATATGTTCTAACTTCATCATTTAATTCAATTTGACCTCAATTTCACCGATTATTCAATTTTGACCCATAACCCAATTTTGACTACAATTTTGTCCGTCACCGTCGTTGACCACTGGTCTCCGGCGTTATTTTTTTTTTAAATTACGTCTGTTTTTTTCGCCGGTTTCCGGCGTTGACTTTTTTGATTTTTTTTTTCTACCACCGCTAACCAGCGTCGGCGGCGCTGACTTCTTCAGATTACCTAATTTCTGATTTTCCTTATTATTATTACCATTACCTAATTTCTGATTTTACCAAAATTAGGTAATTTCTGATTATTATTATATATGTAATAATTTGAATTTTATTTTTATTTTTGGTCCGATTTTATTTTTGAAACTAATTCTCAATATTTCCGGTTTTTCTTTCGTTTGGAAAATGAAAATACACCTATACTTAATATCTATGTAGCATGGACACGGGGAAACAGGGAAACGTACACGGAGAAACTCCGTTTTCCAAAAAGTTGGATACGGAAACATGGGGAAACGCGTAAATAATAAAAATACAGGGGTGCATTCATAATTTTTAAAAATATTATAATGTTTAATATCATTGCACAATTACATTCGGGGCTTATAAATATATTTTAGTATGAAATTAACATCTACAAAATATTAAAACACCACTGGAAGTGAAAAGGAGATATAGTATTTAAGACTTTTTTAAGGGTATGCAATTCGGAGTTTTTATTTAAAATGAAATTTGGATTTATTTTTATAATTCATGGGTTCTATTTAGGGGTGGAGATCGGACGGATCGGATCGGATATCGTCCTTTCGGAAAATTTTTGATATTTTTCGGAACAACAATATTGATTCCGATTCCGATTACGATTCCGATTTTTTCGGAATTCAAGAACCGATTCTGATTCCGAGTTTTTCGGAAATTTTGGAAAATCAGAATATTTCGGAATCATTCATTTTTTTAATTGCAAGGATAGAATGAGGGGCGGCAACGACTAGGCTGAGGCGCTGGTCATGCCGGAGCGAATGAGGGGTGGTGTACGTGGTGCTCGGCGGAGAGAACGAGGGGCAGCATTGGCTATGCTGCGCGGAGAGAACGAGGGGAAGCACTGGTTGTGCTACGCGGAGAGAAAGAGGGGCGGCTCAGGTGGTGCTTGGTGCTCGACAATAAGAACAAGGGGCGGAGCTGGTGGAAGAAATAGGAGATTCTACACAGAGGAAGAATGGATGGTGGTGGAAGAAATGAGAGATTCCATAGGGAGAGAGCAACTGATGCAAGACAGGAGAGAATGAGAGAATGAGTGGGGGAATTAGGGTTTAAAATTCACAATATCTATGAAGACATTGAGTTTGTTGATCTTATTATGTTGTGTATCTCTTTTGTCTCGTACTCCTTTCTCTTTAATACTTCACAATTTGGCTCGCTTCATCCATCTAGTGGACTTCGCCAATGCGAACCTTTGTCCTCATATATGTTTAGATGTTGTGCAGAAGCCTTAATTGCTATAGTTCAGAAGGCAGCAGTCAATGAAGGTAATTTTCATGGAATTAGAATTGCTCTCCATCAGCTCCCATAATTTCCAATTTGTGCTTCGCGAACGACACTCTCCTGTTTTGTAAAGCTTCTAAAGCCGATGTCATTACTATGAAAAACATGTTGGATCAATATGGAAGTATATCGGGACAAGAGATTAATTTTGAAAATACTACTATGAGCTTTTGTCCAACAAATTTTGCGGCTTCGAAGGAGAGTATTTGTAATATTTTGGGTTTTCAAGTGGTGGATCGACATGAAAGATAATTGGGTATGCTTGTCTCGATGGGAAGGACAAAAAAAGAAATCTTTAATTTACTTTGTGATCATATTTGGGCTCGAATAAAAGGATGGGGCGAGAAACAACTCTTAAATTCCGGAAAAGAGGTTCTTATTAAGACTGTTTTGCAAGAAATTCCATCCTATATGATGAGTTGTTTTATATTACCGATGGGCCTCATTAATGATCTGGAATCGGCTATCCGAGGGTTTTGGTGGGGAAACGGAAAGTACATGAAGATGGCGAGGTTAACGTGGAATAGAATGTGCATGTCGAAAGCTGACTGTGGCCTTGGATTTCGGGATTTGCGTGGTTTCAATATAGCATTATTAGCCAAACAAACCTCGAGAATTTTAAATTTACCCCAACCTTCTTTTATCCAAAATTCTGAAAGCTCGTTATTTCTCCAATGGTGATGTTCTCATGGCTGAATTAGGTTTGCGGCCTTCTGCGACTTGGCAGAGTTTAGTTAAAGCCCGATCTCATCTGTTCAAAGGTTTAAGAAAGAGAATTGGTGATGGCTCAAGCACATCTATTTGGGCGGACCCATGGCTCGGTGACGATGGAAATTTCAAAGTTATTACTCGAAGACCTCTGCACTCGTTTTTCCCAGATAGAGCCGAAGATTAAATTGACCAGACTTCAAAGTCGTGGGATATCTCAATTATTAATGAGCAGTTTTAGCCAGTGGATCGAGAACGTATTCTAGCTATACCAATTGAAAGTTCATATGCATCGGACAAATGGATTTGGCACCACACGAAGGACAGAAAGTTTGAGGTTAAGTCGTGTTATCAACTCGCCCTAGCAACAACACACGGCTATCATGCTAATAGGGGTCTGGCGAATGAATCGTCGAGTGGGTTATCAACAAGAAGATGGAAGAACATATGGAATTTGTCACTTCCCCTTAAAATTTGTATGTTTCTTTGGAGGGCTTGTTGTGATATACTATCCACACAAGCCGAGCTTTTTAGAAAACAGATTGCCATCTCTCCGATGTGCAACCATTGTGGGAGAGTATGGGAGACACCTATGCACATCTTTCTCCGTTGTCGAGGAATGGAAAAAATATGGAAGTCACACCCTTTAGGTATTATAGGGCAACCAAAACCAGTGTCTATGTGGGATTGGATTAACGGAGGATTCTTTTCTCTTGGCAGTCGTCGTAGTGTGGAAAGCTTGGGAGTCAAGAAACCGAGAGATGCATGGAGAGCAAGAGATGGCGACGGATGATTTTATTAGCTGGGGTCAGACTTTTCTCAATTTGTATCAACAAGCACAACTTCCACGTGCTCCCACACAACAACACACTCTTCCAACGGAGTGGAAACCGCCTCGAGGAGGAAAAATTAAATTGAACTTTGATGCAGCTCTCGCAGATGGTACTAACCATTATTCGGTGTATCTGATAGCTCGAGATTGACGAGGGGACTGTATTTTTTGGGCAGCAAGAAGTTTTAGAGGCCGCCGAAGGACAGTGGATTGTGAAGCTCAGGCTGCACTCTTCGCATTGACTAGAGTCGAAGAGGAAAGTTGGTCATCGATTATTCTGGAAGGAGATCGCCTCAAAGTCGTAGCCGCACTTCGAGGAGATGATGCTCAATCAAGCTCGTTTGGCGCTTATGTCGAAGATTGTTGGTGTGTGGGTAAAAAAATTGAAAATTGTGTCTTTGATTTTGTTATTTTAGCTCTATCTTATAGCTAAAAATTATGGTGACTCTTGTAACAAAGGTTATACCCATCCTCCGAATTTGGCAATTGATGCGTAATTAAAGTTATTTTTTCTCAAAAAACAAATAAACTCTCATATGGCAACTCCGAAAAATATAACAATTATATATCCATGACGATTATAATCTCGTCGTCATTTCGAGTACCAAATCCCATTTTTCAAATTTCCACCTTTGGAAACCTATATTTCAGTAGTACCTAGCAAACTGGAAAAAAATTCAATCTTTCGACCAATGTTTTGGAAACCGGATCAGACATAGATCCGGATTGCTAACTGGGTCGCGGTTAGACCGGTTCAACCAGGGCCCAATCGAATTTTTTAATATTTTCTATTTTTAATTATTTGTGAATATTTATAATATATTCTCTTTTAAAAATGTATTTTAATATTCCTCATTAATCTTCTATTCAACAGTTATTATAATTTATTAAATATCTACAACAGAGTGTTGTAAATAATTTAATTTATATTTAATATTATTATATTATTTTATACTTTCTTTTAGATTTTCCTTTCTCTATTCTTATTTCATTAATCCCTCTCTCTACTGCTATAATGAAAAAAATAATACGGGAAAATTACATTTTTCGTCCTCAACATTACCCGCTTTTTTGATATTGTCCCTAAACATTTTCAAGTTACAATAGTTATCCCTAATAATGCCATTTTTAAACAATTTTCGTCCTACCGTTAGTTTTTGCTGTTAGTTTTGATTGAAAGTATGATCGAATTATAAATATTATTATAATTGATAAAAAAAAAAAGAAAAAAAAAAAAGAAACCTATATGACCACAGTTCCTTCGACCCTATACCCGGTGATAAACACCGGGTGGGTCTTCTGCTGCCACGTATTCTTTTTTTATTTTTCTAAAACCCCTAAAGGTAAAACCTAGCGGGGAATCTATTATAAAATACAAAAATGAGACACGTGACAGCAGAAGACCACCCGGTGTTATCACCGGGTGTAGGGTCGAACAAATCCATGACCACCCACGTGTTTCTTTTGGAGTTGCACCATAGCTCAGTTAGACGTCGCCATGCACACTACCAGAGAACCATCCATTTACTTCACGACACAAACACCAAGTACACACTCATTTTCACTTTGCAAGAGAATCACCAAGCACATACTTGACTCCCAAGAAACCAATTTCAAAACTCCCAGAATTAATAGTTGGTAATACAGTGGTGTTGGAGTTATTTCGATCTTCACAAGAAAATCTCAAATTTGAATTAAAAAAAGAAAACGCTCATTTAGAAAGTTTTTTTTTTCTCAATTATTCCTTTATTTTTTGACTGAATTTTATCGTTCAATAATCCTTGTGCAGTTGTTTACGCAAAACGACACAACACACATAGATATACACACATAACCAGCATTGATAAACAAGATGAAAGTGATGAAAGATATCAAGCGTTGGTCATGAAATACGAGAAACTAAGTCATCTCCACATAATCACCATTTTCACACTCTATTTTCTGAATCCTTTCAACAAAAGCTCCTGGATCAACTTTTACATGTGTTCTTAGCTTCGGTGTCCATTTGGAGCATGAATTGAAATGAATTTTAATTAATTTTAAACACAATTTAAATATCTAAAGAATGACGACAATGCTGGTTATTAATATCCAAGATGAGGCTTAAATTGTGCAAAATTAAGAATAAAATTCGTCTAACATATAATCTGCATCATCTTCTTCGCCACTTTGATATGAAAAACCACGAGAAGCCCAACAAAATTGAATATGCAAACAGGTCACCTCGAAAAATAGACAATCAACTCATGTATGTTATATCTTCTGCGTATATATTCTCGTTTAATTGTTAGTACATATACTTCAATCAATTTTTTTAAGATTTGTTTTGATGTGTAAACAGCAGAAAATACGAGTAGGAGGGAACGAGGCAAAAGAGGAGCAAGTTGATAATAAAAACAACTACGTAAGGACTGTAATACGAGCTAAAAAAGTGATAAGATAAAGTTAAGAAATGGAGAGGTGCGTGTCATGATATTATTTTTTTTAAAGAAAATAATAAATAAAATTAAAGACTCATTCTTAAAAAATGGAAAATAAATATCAAAATAGAAATAATAAATAAATATAGAAAATTCGAATATATATAATATTAAAATATTATTTAACTTTTTTTTGCTTTCAATATTCTGTTACTTAAATATAATCATTTTAATTTGAAATTAATTCATCACATAATATGTTTTACTACAAATAAGGACAATATGGGTCACATTTATCGACTCATTCTGAAATAGAAAATCTTGAAAGCTTTGAACCAGCTCGGCATTCTACGTCGTATTGATATTGCATGTAATTTTATAATGTTAATGCAAGGTTGTTGTAATATTTTATTTTGAATTTTTAATAATTTTAGCATATTATTGTATTGTTATGTTGGTATTAAAAATATATTTGAAATAAATTATATTTTAGCATTTTAATTAAAAAAAGTCCGTTCCAGCCGCGACGGAGCTACGACGGAACCGCGACGTTGCAATGGAACTGGAACGGCGGTGTCCGCGACAGCCGACTGTTTTGTGCCGGCGAACCATGTGTAGCAGTGTGGAGAAATGGTTATGCTACGCCTAAAGCTACAAATCTCAATTCATTACCTTTTTAACAAAAACCATTGGCCACGTGTATTAGTTGTTCACATAAGTAGGTCCACATTCAAGTCCACGTCATACTTCCATCTAAACTAACAGCAAATCTAACGGTAGGACGAAAATTGTTTAAAAATGGCATCATTAGGGACCACTATTGTAACTTGAAAATGTTTAGGGACAATATCGAAAAAGCGGGTAATGTTTGAGGACAGAAAATGTAATTTTCCCAAAAAAATACCTTCTCCCGTCAAATTGAAACATATTTGTCCACCCACCCACCTCAAGCACCAAACTCATATTTTTCAATTTTCCTGCTTCGTTTCTTCCCCAATCACTACGACCCATCAAGCCACCATTGGAGAACAACCCAGCATCTCAAGAGTCATGACTTAGCCTGAGAACTAGCGCTACCCAAGCCCTACCATTGGAGACCAACCCAGCATCTCAAGAGTCATGACTTAGCCTGAGAACTAGCACTACCCAAGCCCTGTGCCTGATTCGGTGGCAATTTTGACCGACTTTTCTTCCATTTTCGTTTTTTTTTTTTTTTTATTCTTCCTCCCCCATCTTACTCAGATCTATTATTAATTTCTCAATAAAACCAGTTTTTGGCCGGTTTACGGTGCGACCGGCCAAAAATCCGGGTTCTACCATTTAAACCGGTTTTTTGCAACTTTCGGGTTTATAGTGCCAACCGGACCGGACAAGGCAGCGGTTCGCGGTTAAACCTGTCGAACTGGCCGGTCCGGTCCGATTTTCAAAACATTGCTTTCAACTTAATTTCGAAGCTATAATGGCATTAAAAATATGTCAATCTTTTTGGGGGTCAAGAATATATCTAACCAAATTAGTTGAAATTTACGAACATCTTATAATTTTTCTACCACCATCTTAATTTCATTTTTAAGCTACACCAGATGAACTTCTCCCAATAAATAAATAATTAAATAATTAAATACCACATGTCAAAATCTTAACACCAAATGAACTTCACTTCACTCACCGGGTGTAGCATAGAACAAACTTCCTTCTACTACAATCTTAATTTTTCTGTATCCAACATTTGTCTCCTCCAAACACACACTACAAGCATCGAAATTTATGCCTTTCTTACTTTACTTGCTTCTCTCTCCAAGGAAATATTACTTATACATGTACTATGAAACGATGTGCTACCGTGGAAGATGATCGTCCACTTAAAGGGCATGGAGCTTACGGAAAAATTGGGAATAAACTTCGTGGATTTTGTTAGAGGTGAGCATAATTTGTGATATTAATCTCAAAACAAAATTAAAGGGCAATATATTATAAAAATCCCAATTCATTTCCCAACTTAAGTAAGAAAAATAATAGACCCTGCTTTCACTTTCCGATAACATCTACCATAACAATTAAGAAATCACGAGAAACTAGTCTTAGTTTAAGAATTCATAATTACCGAGAAAAAAAAAATTAGAGTACTTAGGTTTTAAAGAATAACCAATTCAATGTGACGACGTACTTTTGCTTCAAGGTGTTGCTTCACCTCATCCCTTGTAAACTGTTCCACGGATAATCTGAATGGGGTAACTGGGTCATCGGCAAAGTATGATTCATAGGAGCAATCAACAATTACCTTCTCAAGCACAACACAGTTGTCTATAAAATACTCGACCAATTCAACATCACTTGATCGACTGTAAAAGCCACAAAACTTGACGACTTTAAGGTGCTGGTGAGGAAACTTTTTAGTTTTGTCAATTTGTCCAACTAAACTCTTACGCACATACGCGCACAACTGCATATGAGAAACGAGAGATAATAAGCCTTTGCTGCTGATAAAAATGAAGAATAAAATGTACACTGATACTTTATGAATTTGTTATTTATGATTTGATATCCTTAATTCTAAATCCACCAATCGAAATACAGCCTTAGGAATCAGTAACATTAGTCTCACTCGAGTTTGGTTTAGTTGTTTTAAATACTATGTCTGAATGAGTTGGGATAAATCTTGAATTTTATTCTAGCAATTGGCGCTATCTTTAGAACTAAAAAGATGAAATGACCTACCTTTAGAACAAATTCCTCTAGGTAAGGACATGCTGATATGAAAGAAGTCAGTGCAATAATACTCCGATCATGCAACGAGTCACATTGTATGACCAGCTTCTTCAATTTAGGCATTTGAGGGAACTCGGCGAGTTGAATTATTTCCTGCAAAATCAATCACAAAAAAAAAAAAAAAAAATTGGTATTATTATGCATAAAAAAATTGGAGAGGATGACGGCCACAATTTAATTTGTCTAACCTCCGGCCTGCCTAACAGCAAGGTAAGAATCTCCAATTGGAAAATGCAGCAAGAAAGAGTATGAAGTAACTTCTTATCAGAATATATACTATAAGCACCGCTAACAGATACGTCAACAAGCATTGGGACATTCTCAAGTAAGACTTCTCCCCATAACATCGAAAACTTAAACGAAGTAAGATTAGGCGCCGAAACCTTAAGGGATCTCAGTTTATCGCAGTCGGTGATCTCCAAGTGTTTCAGCACGAGGGACGAACCCCAAACTTCAAGATTCGATAGTTCTTTCTCGTTATGGACCGTCAATTGCTCGAGCAAAGGGCAGTTACGTAGGAAGAACTCGATCGCTTCGCTACTCACGTTAACCCGATTCAAAGACAATGCTTTGAGAGACTTGAAATTCGAAGATACAACGCCGCGGTTGTTTTGATCAAGTAACTCTTTGGGGAAAGAATAACGTAAGGGGCGAGCGCGACGGTTGTCGAGGTTCGACGAGAGGTCAACCTCCACCCTTTGAACTTGTCTGGAAAACGCGTACGCGAGCCACTTGGTTATCGCCTTCTGAGACGATTTGCTCAGATCGAAACAGATTCTGAACTCTTTCAATGTGGCGGATTCATGTGATTGCAGAATGTGGTTTACCCATGCTATGTATTTTAGCCTCTCCCCCTTACGCTCGTTTCTTAGTTGCATGGCTACCTTGTCTATACCACTTCCTGCTTCGAAATTGAGAGAGTGGGTGTGTTTCCATAAGTTTAGCCAGCGAGACGAGAGAACGCTAGTGCATGCAGCTTCCTTCAGAGATAGGTACGATATGATATCGACGAGAATATCATCAGGTAACTCACTTATCCGATCATCATCACCGAGGTATATCTTAGCACACTGTCAAACAATGTAATAATACTCAAATCAGAACAAAACGAACGATAATGCAGTAAGGCCTCGTTTGGTTGCCAAGATATTCTAATAAAACACAGTCCATCCCTAACATAATATTTTTGGGTCGACCCGAGAAGTTATTGGGTATAACAAACAAATTCCAATTATTTAGTTAATTATGCCCCAACCAAACAAGACCAAAGAGGAAAGTTAAGGGTTTCAGTAACCAAAATACATCATACATAAAGCATATAGCAATAACAAAGAGAAATTAATATTTAAATATTTAGAGATAAAAAGGGGAGAATTTCATTAGTGTTCGTTCACCTTCTTCGCTGGAGAATTGGAATCAATTCTGACTCGTTTACCACCCATCGATCTTTGAAATTTTGGGCAAAAACCTAGAGCAATTGTTAGACAGAAACAAAAACGAAAAAAGAAAAATTTGAGTATCAATGAAATCACAAATCTACAGACGAATTTCTAGGTTTGTATTAACCATCAGTTCTCAACCACCACCTCCGCACACACAACACCACCGCCGCCGCTTAACCGTGGATATATACAGTTAATCGAATTTGGTGACTCGAGAAAATGGCGGCGAGAACTCAGGAACCCGAAATCATTTTCCTCCCTGATAGCCGGAGAAGACGAAAATGGGTTTGCAAAGTAATGGTGTGGTGTGGTGTGGTGTGGTGCGGTGTGTACGTGTGCGCAGTGGTGGGGTCGTTTGCTGCGTTAATTTAGGATTAAATAGATTAGGTAAATTCCACTTTCCCCCTTGTACTTTGGATCGATATCATTTTACCCCTACTACTTTCAATTGCATCGATTTGCCCCCATGTACTTGAAAAATTATCTCAATGTGGCCCTCGCCGTTAGTTTTACCTTTGACATTAACACCGTTTGATCTAAGTTTGAAAATTACAAAAAAAACCACCCCTCCCAGTTTAAATAATTATTAATAAAAAAAAAAATTGTGGCTGGCGTCCTGGACTATGTTGTCTCGCTGTCTTGAATTTTTTATTATTTTATTTTTTGTTTATTTATTTATTTTTCATTTTTTTTTTAACTCGAGGGGTGACATTTTAGTAATTTTCAAACTTAAATCAAACGGTGTTAAGGTCAAAGGTCTGAAAACTAGAGGCCACATTGAGACAATTCAGGGGGCAAATCGATACGAAGTGATATCAAGTCAAAGTACAAGGGAGTAAAGTGATATCCAGCCAAAATACAAGGGGAGAAAGTGGAATTCACCCTTAGTGTTAAGTACACTTTGCACCCTGAAGTATAGGCTGTGAAACATTTACCCTATCCTTTTAGGGGCCTATTACTTTGTAGGAAAACGCTAGATCGACTGATTAGTCCCATGTAATCAATAGTTAGGTTTGTGATATACCGGCCCGCAACTGATTAGTGAACCGGTAACCTATCCTTTTATTTCCTGGAATAGCTTTTTACTCCCCCTTGTTGGCCTAGTTGTCGATTCTTGCCCGTTTCTTATACTATTTACTACCAAGTAAAACTTCAATTTTCTCTCCGATATCTCTTCCGCATTCTTCTTAATGGAGTGCTCTTAATTGTTGGTACAGATTAATCTATCGTAATCGAAGAGGGAGGTGGGTGCAGTTGATTTGGTTTTGAATCTTGGCAATTTGGAGGAGGGTTGTCGAGGAAGGGCTAATGGATTTGACTGTAAAACACATCGATAATCATCACTTGCCGAGGTAGGCGTCTCGGAAATTCGCGTGATCTCTTATCATTAGGGGTGTGCACGGGTCGGTACGGCTCGGTTTTTTCAAATAAACCAAACACGTACCGATAATATCGGTTCCTCATATTTTAATAACCGAATATGTTCGGTGTGAATCGGTTTTTCGGTTTTCGGTTAACGGTTTCGGTATCAATTCGGTTTATTTTCGGTTTCGATTTCGTCAAACCGGTTCGGCATAAAACCCATATATTTGGACTTTCATTATATTTAATTGGAAAAATTAACAAATAACAACCGAAAATTAACTAATAAAAAACACGTCACAACCAAAATTAATTAATAGAAAGAGATGTCACATGGAGGCGCTCGAAAGATAGAGGCACGCTAGGGTATATATTTATAATATATATAAAAAATACATCATTTTGTATAAATCGGTTCGGTTCGGTTCGGGAAATCGGTCCGGTAATTTTTAAGTTCTTCATACACACACCGATATTTTCGGTTTTTCAAAAAAAAATTACGGTATATGCGGTTTTAAGCGGGACGATACATATCGACTCGGTTTTTTCGGTTTTCGGTTCGATTTTTCGGTTGTTTTGCTCACCCCTACTTACCATTCGAAACATAAATTGAGTTTGACCTCAAATTGAGTGTTGACCCTTTCTAGACTTTAAGCTAGATAAAGAACCATTCCTTTTTTTCTTTGTAATCTTTCTAAAAACTTCAAAACGAATGCCAACCCTATTGTTGGATGTTTATACCAATTCAATGTGTTTTTGCTCTTTTCAAAATTTGAAAGATTGAATTTGCTCCTCTAATTATCAAGTTCTAAAGCTTCGGGTAGAACGCTATTGTCTAATGTTTTCGTACATCTTATTAATCAAAACACACCATTTACAAATAAAGGCCTGATTTCTTTTTTTAAATACAAACACCACATACGATATATTCAATTATGCCAAACTCCAATTGATTTTGCTCTGGATTTTTTCAAAAAGACCTCATAGGCTGTAGAGTTGTTATCCACGCTTTATAAACTAATGACGTTTTTCCATATAAAACCAATGTGGGACTTGGTTTTCACGTCAATAAATTATTATTTATTTATTTATTTTAATTTGTGCAAAATTAATTAAATGTTTAATCATCTATGAAAATTTCCCAAAACTTTTGAGAATTTGAGAACATATATATGATTTTTTTAAATTTTCGAAATTCCTAAATTTTCAAAGTATTTTGAATTGAAATGGATTTTTAGATTCCGAAAATTGTGAAGTAACTTTTACTTACGAAAAAAAGATTTTCTTTTAAAGACTGATTTTCTTTTAATTGTGTCCACATTTCATCCCTAATTCGTGTGGAGAGGTTCTAGATTGATACGTGTGCCTCAAGCTTTAAATGACTAATTTTTGAAACAAAACAAGAAATTAAAAAGAAAAAATTAGGAATGACACATAAGCCCTTGTGCCGTATAAAATGAACATTTCTACCGAACCCAAACCCTAAAACCCTAGTTAAAACCCTCTGGTTTCCTTCCTCACTTGACAAAAACCCCTCTTCTCTGCTCACCTCAAACCCTAAGAAATGTCTCTAACTAACGCCATCCGCAGAGTTGCTTCGAGAGTCGCACCTCTCGTCACCAGGGCTTCCGCCGGAAGTCAGAGGTGCCTTCATCACCACCACGGCGGCTCAGCCCTTTTCTCCGCCGCCAACAAACCCTCGGTCAATCTATTGCAGAGATCGTTCCCGTCGTTTCTCCGCCACTACTCCGCCAGGCCGAAATCAGATGAGACACTTCTCCGTGTAATCGAGGCCGAGATTGAATGTGCCGTCGAGTCTAATGATCCCGAGGTTTATTTATTTTTATGTTTTTTTTTACAATTTTTGTTTTTAATTTCTGGAATTTTATATTCGCTTGCCTGGGTAATTGTTGAAATTGCAGAAAACTGTTTTCGGTTATCGTTTACATTGAATTTTTGCAGCGAAATGGTACTTGAATTCGATGTTAACAGGGTAATTAAAAAAAAAAATTCCCGAGGCGTTATTGTCTAAGATTTATCGGCTTTTGTCGAGGATTTTGTACCCCAACAGGGTAATTAAAAAAAAAAAATCCTGAGGCGTTATTGTCTAATATTTATCGGCTTTTGTCGGGGATTTCGTACCCCGGTTGGCTGCTAAAAATCACAATGAATGATTGGCTGTTGATTATTGAATGCTGCTATTTTTGCTATTAATTATCTCCGGTACAGTTTTTGAGTAAAGCTTTGATCAGATTTACCTGAATTTTATTATATACCCTCTGTGCATAGAATAGTTAATAAAAATTGAGTCTTTCCGATTATAAGGACAACTTTGGCTGATACATTTTCCGATTATCTCAATAGATTCGTCATTTCTATAAGTTCGAAATATGAAGCATCGTTTAATACTTGTGTTGTTTTTTTAGTATTTCTTAGTCAATTGCGTCCCGCTATATATTTTTATAATTTTCCGTTACTTTATAGGATGAAGAACTCCCGCCGGGTTTCCCCTTTAAAATAGAAGATATTCCTGGACAGCAGACAATAACACTAACGAGAGAATTCAACGGTGAAGACATAAGCATTGAAGTTCACATGCCAGACGTTGTTACTGGTGACCAGGATGATGAATCCAATGATGATGCCGACGGTGAACCAAACTCAATGTGTACTATTCCGTTGGTTGTTAGAGTCTCCAAGAGGAGTGGGCCCTCCCTTGAGTTTGGTTGCACCGCTCGACCCGATGAAGTTGCAATCGACACCTTGACTATTAAGGATCCGAACAACTCCGAGGATTTAATTGCGTATGAAGGACCCGATTTTGGGTAAGTTTTTTCCGATTAATTTTTGTTTTGATGATTGTATTTTTTTTCCTTTTTCTTTTTTTTGGCAGTTTATTTTGTAATGAAATGGTTTTTTTTTTTATTGGCAGGGATTTGGATGAGAATTTGCAGAAGGCATTCAATAAGTATATAGAGGTGAGGGGAGTGAAGCCGAGCGTGACTAATTACTTGCATGGATACATGGTCGACAAGGACAGTAAAGAATATGTGACGTGGCTGCAGAACGTCCAGAAGTTCGTCCAGTCTTGATTTGCTGTATGGATTAAATAAATATTGCTGGATATTGCGTGTTTTGATTATGCGGTTATAATTTTAGATTTATTAGCTATTATTGAGTTATGAAGACCTTTAAACTATAATTCGGATTTTTAGCTATAATTGAGTTATGAAGACCTTTTAAATTATTGATGTTGATGAGTAAGAATTGGCGATATAATCATTGTTTTTGTGTATGGTTTGTTGTTGGGCTTTGTGGATTGTAGTAATCAGTTGTTGAAACAATCCGACTAATTTCAGTGAAAGTCGAGAACAAAAAGCAAGAGCAAAAGATAGAAGGGCGTGGTTATTTGGATTCAACCAAATTACTCATTGTACTCGACAGTCATTTGTTCCAATTATACCCTTACGTATGTATTATTATTTAACCAACATCCATCACGCCGGAATATGTACTACACCATGTTTGTTGTACGATCACTGTCGAAAGCTCACCACGCGAAGTTCCTTATCTGCCGTCTTTCTTCCAAAATGGGATAAAAATTGGTACTGAAAATTCGGTTGTTATACTGGGAAATTGAGCAAAATCAGCACTGAATTTCGCACAAGAGTTCAGTACCGAAGAGGTCGTCTCGATGCAAATTAAGGCTAGAAATCAATTTTGACGGCATCTGAAGGATGAGCAATCGGTAATGAAAATTTGGTTGTTATACTGGGAAATTGAGCAAAACCAGCACTGAATTTTGCAGAAGAATTCAGTACGGAAGAGGTCATCTGGATGCAAATTAGGGCTAGAAATCAATTTTGACGGCAGACGCGGACGAGTAAATGAACAACGGCGAGTGTTTTTTTCTCGAAAGGGTGGAATGTGTAGTGAACAGGGGCGAGTCCACCCTTGGGCAAGGGTGGACTCAAGCCCACTCTCATTTTTTCAATTTCCCCCCTATATTATACCCTATTTCTATTTAGCCCACCCAAATTTTATTTACTAGCCCACCCAAAATTTCATTTAATGCAAAAGAAGCCCCATATTTTATTAATTAGCCTTCCCAAAATTTAAATTAATACAAAAAAGTCCCAAATTTTATTAATTAGCCCACCCAAAATCCAAATTAATACAAAAAAAACTCTAAAATTTGTTTTTTTTCTTTTTTTTTTTCGTTTCTCCTTTTCCTATTTTCAAAAAAATCCTAAAAAAATCTCGGGGGCGCTGCCCCCGAACCCCCGAAAATTGAAGCCCCCCCTGTACTGAATTCCTGGCCTCGCCACTGGTAGTGAATGATATAATCGAAAAGAAAGTATTTGATGAAGTACGGTGAATAATTTGATGGAAATTTAAAACTTGTCCTGTTTTCTTATACCACAAATTCCAGAGTAGAATACTTCACAATTTCCTTTGAATTCCAATTTTGATACATTACCGGCTAATCCGTTAAGCAATATTCCAATTTCCAGTTTCTCTGATTTTGTTTTTTGGATTGGAATTCAAAGTATACATAAAGTAACTAATTTTTTATCCAATTTTTTTTTCCCTACTATAAACAATTTTTATGTTTTTCACTAGGTACAAAAGTAATTAAGTGTTCAATTATAGTTTTAGAGCCCACAAGTTTCATTTTTTGACATTTTCTTTGCCTCATTCATTCCCCAAAACTCTTGGAATCGAAATAGATATTTCTATATTCCTTTTTTCTAATTGGAATTGGAAGTAGTTTTTTCATACCGATAAGAATTGGATTATTTCTGAGAAAGAAAAAAAACCTAATTTCGATATGTTCCATCTGACTTTCACCGTTTTAGCAAATATAACATTGAGACGAACAAAAATCAGAATATATATATACTAAAGCAATATGAGACGAGCATTTCAATAAATAAAAAAAATGTTAAATAATCGACGGTGTTTGTCAATGAAAGCCAAAAAATTACAGTCATGGACAATTCCATCCAACTTATTTATGCTTCCATATGACAACACCCCAAACCTGCTGCAAACTTCTCGTTCTCGTAAAAACATGAGATGCCAAAATTCGAAATTCGTAAAACTCTATTATATATGATAATAATAGTAATAATAAGACAAGTAGATTCAAGCCTGCAGCTTCAACTCCTTGTGAGTGTATGCAATCTCTTTATCACCATTCACCACTTGCCCACTTCCTCTTGCAAGCCTGCATTTAATCGTAATTATCATTTAATCGTGTCTCGTAACTCGAAACTATATAATTCATTAAATCCATTTACCAAAAAGAAACAAAGAAAAAAAAATCATATACGTACCATCGTGTTGTAAGCAATCCTTCAACACCTACAGGGCCACGAGCATGAATTCGGCTTGTACTAATGCCAACCTATTCACAAACATACATACATATATACGTATGTATATACATACTCGTTAGAATAGCAATTTTTTAGTGATAAATGATTTAAAACTGAGTATTAAGAATAAAACATGCATGCCGCGTTACCTCTGCCCCTAATCCAAAACGGAAGCCATCGCTAAACCTTGTACTCGCATTGTGAAATACAGCAGCGCTGAAAAAAATCAAAACGAGAGTTCGATTATTATTTTTCAATTTTTAATCTAAAGTAATTTACAATCCCAATCGGGAGAGAGGAAAAAATACCTGTCAACTTGACGTAAAAATGCTTCCGCAACTTGACGATCTTCAGTTACAATGCAGTCCGTGTGTCCACTGCCATTTACAACTACGTGCATCGTTACTCTCATTAGCAACAAGGAAAAAACCAATACAAAAAAAAAAACTGCAAATAATTTAAAAAATAAAAAATAAAATAATAAATAACATGCCTTCCGTGCTCGTGTATATGTTCGATGGCGGCATTTACGTCGTCAACAATTTCAACAGTGCAAGAAAGAGAACTATATTCCTGGTGCAACGAGCTCGCCTCTGGAATATTCAGTAAAGCACTAGCTTTTGGTCCACCAAATATTTTGACACCTGAAATTAATCGAACAAATTTATTATGCTCGTAATTAATCAAACAAATTTATTATCTACGGCTATTCCGCATTGAACTAACAGAAAGTATGAAGGTCCGACCTTTGAATTGAAGTTCGACAATAAGCTCGTTTAGGCTGCCGTCCTGCACCAAATCCTTGTGAACAAGTAGTGTTTCCTTAAAAACAACGAGAGCAAAGTCGTTAGGCGTCTATCGAATATTATGAAATATAAAAAATAAAAAATAAAGGCGGCAAATTATCAAAATCGAACGCACCATAGCATTGCACGCAGCAGGATAATCCGTTTTTGCATCCAAAACAATCTGTTTCGCCATGTCCTTATCAGCCGACTTATCTACGTAAACATGGCATATTCCATCTGGGAAGAAACACAATTTTTTTTTTGTAATTAAATTTATAATTATACGGATGCGTGATAATATATATATATATATACCCTCATTCAAAAAATAAAATAAAACTTACCAGCATGACCTAAAACGGGAATCTTCGTTGCAGCCTTGATTTGAGTAACAAGTTTGTTGCTGCCTCTCGGAATCACAAGATCGATTACATCATCCAGCTTTTTCCACAAACGTAAAAGTTCAATATCGGTCGATATATACGTGATTTTATAATTATAAAATAAAAATATTAAATATAATCCACCTTGAGCAATTCGGGGATCTCTTCTCGGGAAGTCACCAGTCCAATAAGTTGTTCCCCGACACTTTCCGGGATGGCTGAAGTAATCACCTAATCATACAGAAAACAAGTCGTAAAGTTAATAAACGTAATTATCTAATATGCGAAATTAAATATGGGACGACTATAATTCATTAGATTATACCTTATGCAAGATTGCATTTGAACGTCTAGCCTCCTTTCCGCCTTTTAGAAGGAGCCCGTTCCCACTCCGTAGTGCTAATGAAGCTATCTGTTAAAAATCGAACAAAGCACTGACTTCAAATGATTTTCCGTAACTTTTATTTGGAAATAAATCAACACAAAAAAATCATGTAATTTATCCAAACTAGTGAATCGGTTTGACTAAAGATCGATCAAAAGAATTAATTAATATATATATATATAAATATAATAATACCTGCACTAATGCATCAGGACGAGACTCGAAAATGATCAAAAGAACACCCAATGGACACGAGGTCTTCTCCAATACAAATCCTTCTGAAAGCTGCATTAAATCAATTTCCCAAAATCAGAACCAAATTTGTATACTGGCACTAGAAATAATATACATACAGTGTAACCTCGATAAATTAATACTCGATATATTAATAATCTCGTTTAAATAATAATTTATCCCTGTCCAGACTCGGTGAAAACGTATTAAATTAGTAGTTAGATAATTTAATATTTCGCTAAATTAATAGAATTTTGTTGGTCCCAGCTGGATTAATTTATAGAGGTTTAACTGTATTACAATATTACTGATTTCCTTACCTCTGTTCTCTTCAAAATTCGGCCGACAGGCTCCTCCATATTTGCTAGCATGCGAACCGCATTTGCAAGACTTTTAATCTATAATTTAAAAAAAAATACAAATTAAAAAAAAAAAATTATACACATACTTGTATTTAAATGTTAGTGTATGTTAGTGTTACCTTATCAGGCTTCAATTCGAGCCTAGACAGCAACGATCTTTCATATCCGTCTTGAAGGGCAAGAGCGACATCGGCTTCGTTTTCGGCGATTATCACCTTTTCGTTTGCTTCCAAAGCATCAGCTACGTCGATTAAAATTTTACCCCTCTCGTCCGAAGACATAGCCTGCAGTCTTCTAGAACATTCCCTAGCTGCTACAGCCATCTCACGCGCACCAACCTCTCCGTGTGGGACCCACTTACTAGCATCTTGATGGAACAGCGTGCCGATATGCTTCCCATCCAGTACTTTTATTATACTATCGGCCACGAAACCACTTCATCCACAGAAGAAATAAATAATTAAATATAATAAACTTAATATAAAAATTATCATTAATTCGACAATATTTAGAGAAAAACGGAAAGATAGAACTACCTTGTGATAACAACAGGGGTACCGGCTTGAGCTGCGTAAAGGGCAGCTTTGACTTTAGCAGTCATACCTCCTCTTCCGACCCTCGACTTATCGCCGAAAGTAATTAGGCCCTCGTGTTTTTCCTTCACGTACGTATGAATTAATTCGGAATGCGATTCGTTTGGCGGTCCGCTATAAAGACCATCCACATCGCTCAACAGAACGAGAAGGTCGGCGTTTAGCTCCATTGCTAAAAGAGCCGATAAACTGTCGTTGTCCCAAAATATCCCGGACGAATCCTGTAATATAGAAAACCGTAATTTGTTATAGCTTATAATAATTAAAAAATAATAATTAAAAAATAAAAAAATAATAAAAAGAAGAAAAAAATCACCTCATATGGTGCTTTCCTGGTACTGACTGCGTCGTTTTCGTTGAAAATAGGAACAACTTTGAGAGACAACAACGATTCGACGTTTTCGTTTAGCTGTTTCCGGAAAGCCGGATCTCTGAAATCATTGTCGCTTACTAGAAGTTGTGCGGATGTCGTATCCAACTGTACGAGAAAAAAAGAAACAAATAAGAAGATTTTTTGTTGTTATTACATAAGCACTAGGCGAAGAGAAAAAATAATGAGAAAATTAAGATTGTGAATTTTCACCTGGCTGAACAAAGTATCGTAGAGAGCCATTAGACCGTTTTGCCCCACAGCGGCGCAAGCTTTTCCGTCAAGTTCCTGCTGCGGTTTTTGTAGGTCGGCAAAGCTGCAACAACAAACAAACGTAAATGGAAGATAAAGTCGAGCACTTCTTTCAATTTGCAAACTTGTTGTCGAACGAAATTGAGAAAAATAAAATAAAATAAATAAAAAGGAAAACCTGCTGTTGACTAATTTCCTGTATCGAAGGCGTTGACGACCAACACCAACAGCACCGGAAGTGACCAAAACAACCTCGTATCCCATATCGTTAAGTTCATGAATCTGCGCATTTATTTTCGATAAAAAAGAGTAAGCATTAAAAAGATGCTCGTTGATTGATACATTTAATAATAAATAAATGAATATAATCGACGAAATCGACCTGCTCGCAGAGTGCACCCAATCTTCCAAGAGCTAATCTCCCATCATCTCTAGAGACAACCGCAGTTCCGACCTGCATTAATAAATATGAAATTATCAATACAACCGCAAACACGTGGATTTTAATAAAACTCAAATTTGAGTACGTAAGCAAAATACGAACTTTGTAGATCTACATTTGTGCCATAATGAAAAATCAATATAAATGGTAGCATCTTGTATTATGCTGTCATAATAAGACACTTCGGATTATTAATCACAGATTTAGCAAATTAAGTTTCCGATTTCAGACGATTGATTTCCCTAACGAGCGGTCTCTGCATGCATTCGAGAACATTTTTTTTTATCTAGAAGTTTTAATTCTCATAAACAAAATAAGTTCCAAAAAATAAGTTCGAGCCGTGATAGGGAAGGAACGAAGAACGTCGGCCATCCCATTAATTAAACCGACAGTCAAAACTATCAAGATAATCGAATTACGACAAGTTGTCAAATGTAATATATATATATATATATATATATATATATATATATATATATATATATATATATATATATATATGACTAAATATTTGATATCGAATATCTCTTTCCACAATTACCGAAAACCTCCGAAAAATTCAATCTTTGCCTGATTTTGTAAGTACTATTCTGCCAAAACATGGAAGTATAAATGCACAAATAACATCTAAAATAAAATAAAACACACACAGACACAGACACACACAATAGAATCAAACGAAACTGATAAAACCACATTGCAAAACAAAATCAAAAGTTGGAACAAAAAAAAAGAAAAAAAAAAAAAAAACTGGGAACGCGACCTTGATTATGACGCGCTTAACATCTCTCATGAACTCCCGAGTCGAATCTTCAGCCTCCATTGCTAAATTCTCTCTCGATCTCTGTTTTTTTTTTCTGCCTAAAGAAAAAAAAAAGAAAAAAAAAACGGAGAGCAAATAAATCAGGAGAGTTGAGATTTTGCGGAACAAGATGAAAACGAGGAGACACGTGAAGGCACGCGTCACTTATATATATATGTAGGGTTTTTTATGCACATGACGAGATATACTTATATATATACATACAAAATATTCGTATCTATCTATATGCCTATAAACACTCTCACACAGTGACGGGGGAAGAGGGGGAAGTGAACGCGAGGAGTTGTTTGTTTCTCTTGGGGTGTTTACCGGAAGCAATCATGAACCGCCACGTGGAGCGCTATGGCGGAGGAGCTGACGTGATGGGTCGGGTCTCTTCCGGGTCGGGCATCTTTTTCAAACGAAGGCGGGCAGTGTCGTTTGGGGACGAAACACTGCAACGGTAGCTCTTCATTTGTTTTAGCTGATGACGTGGCCGATGCCTCATGAGCAATTTCTTTTTTACAGCTTTAAACTTGAGTTAAATACAAATTTCACCCCTGTACTTATCATCATTGTCGCATATACCCCCATGTACTTATAAAATGCGATAAAGTGGCCCCTTAACTTAGCGGTCAACCCTCAAATCTCTAATACCGTTGGTTTATGTAGCGTATTTATCTTTTTAACCTTATATTTTATATAATATAATATGTATTCTTTGACTTTATTACTTGACCTTTATTTTTTTTTACTTTATTACGTAGCATTACAGTTGCATTGACAAGTGGTTCTAGAAAAATATGTCTTGTAGTGTTTGGACGTAAAAAATGAAATGCATGAATTTTGAGAATTAGAACTACGGAAAGCATTTTGAATCGAAACTTTTTGGGCTGAAAATAAAATTATAAAATTTTAGAAATTTAAAAAGAATTTAAAATTATTATGCAAAATAAAACAAAAAAATCATAAATTTTGGGTGATATTTTTAGATTGTGAAGAATAAAATTATGGAAGAAATTTCCATGAGAGTAAATTGAGTACTAGAGAGAAAGAAAGAGGCACACATTTTATACCGAAACAGAGGGGTATTTTTATCCAAAATTGTCCAGCGTCTAGTGCAATGGTCGGTCAACTTTGAAAATGGATGAAGTTTTTAACATGGCTTAACGGCAATGGCCGCTTTGTCGCATTTTTTGTAATATAGAGGTTATATGTGACACTTATAATAAGAGTAAACTGCAAATACTACCCCTGTGTTATCTTGAAATAGCGAAAACCCCCCTGTGATAAATAAACTAGCAAAAACCCCCCTGTGAAATTTAGTCAAAGGCAGAATCCCCCCTAGCTGATTTTTTAGACTTGAAATGACAAAATTGTCCCTCAAAATGTATTTATATATACATATTATATGTATATTTATTCTTTTTAATTTGTTTGTTTAGAAATTAAAAAAAATAGTAAACAACTAAATTGATTATATTTTAAATAAAATAATTAAAATAGTTATAAAATATAAGAATTTATTAATTGCAAGACTCCAGGGGTATTTGTGTCTTTTTATATCAAGTCAACCCTCAAATAGTTCCATAGGGGGGTTTTTGCTATTTAAATAATTTCACGGGGGAGGTTTTTGCTAGTTTATTTATCACAGGGGGGTTTTTGCTATTTCGAGATTACACAGGGGTAGTTTTTGCAGTTTACTCCTTATAATAATACAAGGGTGCGATTTATATTTAACCACTCAAACTTTGATCGAGATTATTTATTACGTTTGAACTTGGTTTAAGTGGTGAAATAATTATCGTAATCAACAATGGTTTATTTATTAATTAAGTTATTTGAATTTGAAGTTGGTTTATCTATAAATATTTTAATTTTAATTATAATTATTTTATGTATAATTAATACTTCACTCGTGCGATGCACGAGATATTCATCGAAAGAGGAAATATTCAATTAGAAAATATATCTTCGAAATAGTGAGATCAAAAATTGATATACAACACAAAGTAGTAGAAAAGTATACGAAACATGACCCTCATTTGGTGTAAGTAATTAATTAAAGTCAAAATAAGTGGAAATAATCTTCATTATCATTGTGTGTGATAACAACTACCTTAACTGCATATGCGGAATCAAACACGTGACCTACAAATCCCCATTTCGACCAGCAGTTGACTGACCAAGAAAACTGTATTTAGAGTTTAGAGTATTCTAGACTTTGCCTTTAGGAAAATACAAAGGAAAAACTACCAAGTATATACAAAAAATAGGGCAAATTACGGCCATCCGTTGAGGTATGATCAAATTACAAAAAAACCCTCTTGTTTGGGTAATTACAGTCACCCCTATCCTTTTAAATATTTTTACATAAATTTTATATAATTTGGTTGTTTACCAAACCAAATCGTATATTCTGTTCGGTAAACAGTATGAAATGTTGGCGTAACGAAATTTCAGTTCGGTTTTACCAATTTAACATCACTAAATTTACCATTAGAGGGACATTTTCATAAGATAATACATAGTAGAGGGGGTGGCCGTAATTACCCAAACAGGAGAACGTTTTTGTAATTTAACCATAACTCAGGGGTGGTCGTAATCTGCAAAAAAAAAAAGATTTCCTTAATTTGACCATAACTCAGGGGCGAAGGTAATTTGCCCAAAAAAATATCACACTCGACTCCACAAAGAGCATATGCTAATAGTTGTCAAGGAAATGCACAAGTTTCTGGAAAATAGTGGTACTGTTGGTCATAGACAAACACAAACAATAGTAAATGTTAGTCTTAAACATAAAAACAAAAAAAAATATTAACACACACACACACAGTAAAGTGAAGTAAACAGAAAATCATATTCTACAATATTGTTCAATCCATGATCAGCTGAACTAGTCCTGTATAACAAGTTCAAAAAAACAACACGAACCGACATCTGTAACTACTCGTTAATCAGATTCAGCATCGTCCTTTTTAGACTCCGATTTCCATTTTAAACGATCCACAACTTCGACTTCTCTTTACAATAATTGCCTTCAAAAAATAAAACCACAGGCATTTGAGAACACACATGAGTATCAAGCTAAGCAAAGAACCACATCTTGATAAAAATCGACAATCCCAATTGCAGCACAAATGCTGAGATAGCCACAATCATTAGATCATTGCTTTGTATGTACGATCTGAGGTTCAGACCAACAAAGCTGGCCGATGCAGCACCGCCGATTAATATGATAATCCATCTGATAAACTCGATTGGAATAATCAAAAGAAACTGTACATACAAAAAAAAATAAAAAAGAGTCATATTTATGATTAGGACTTAGAACAACACGGCAATGATAAAGACGTGTACTTACAGAAGTCAGGATGAAAATGAAAAGGGAATATCCCCACAGGCACCAAAAGCGTACGAGGCTGACGTTTGAACCCAAATACTGAAGCAAGAAGTAATATCCCAATGGAACTATGAGGGCGTATCCGTAAATAGACCCCGCAGCAACATTTAAATAATTGACGTCAAACGCCCACGATGTATTGGGGTCACTTCTTCTGCTCATTAAGTAGGTGGCACAATTACCAAGGGATGCGATCACAAAAACCAACGTTGTAGAAATCCAGACAAGCCCATAGCTGAAAGAATAGGAAAAAAAGCAGAAAATATTTAATCCTCTTACATTTAGCCAGTAATATTCTGTTATCCATATCAAACAGAACAATCAAGTTATGGCGCACGTAACCATAAACACATCGCTCAAGAATAGCAACCATATTAACGAAAATATAACTTTTTGACACGTCTCTCACTATAATTTTGGAAAAGATTTATTAATTAACGTATCTATTAATTAACAAGACCAAGAAATAATTAAAAGGTGAAGTAAAAGAAAAGTCATAGGCTTCATCACACAATCCTGAAAGCATAATGTTGATTCTGAGCTCTTTATGTTATCTCATTCGACTAAAACCTGCTGTAAGTACTATGAAATTCGGAACACTGGAAACTAAGTACAAGCAAAATAGTTGGAAGTAATTTAATTTCATCAAGTAGTACACTGTATACTTGTTGAATAAGCTTCATAGAGAAGACACTGTATACTGTGAGACGATTTGCTGAATTTCAACAGCAGAATTAATGAAGATATGCTATTTTTCTATCACAATTAACGAGGGACTAGTTGGAAAGAATAATTTCAGTGCGTAGGCTCTCTTAATAATTGGTTCATGTTTTGAGATAGCAATCAGACAAACAGATCTGATATAAAACGCACACCCAACTCGCAATCCTTATTTTAAAACAACCCTATCACATACCAATATATTACTTCATGTAGATTTTACATGATAAACACATCATTTCTTTTCCCAAGTGGAATCCATCTTTACAGAAAATCTAATCACAAGGGCGAATGTGGTTCCGGACGAAGATCATTTCAGAAACAAGATTATCGTTATGGATTTATTCCATCATTAGGAAACTTACAGGTCTGGGTTTGCATCAATTTTGCTGACAAAATCTCCACTTGTTGGATATAAAGAACTTATCAATCTGTTCAACACAATGTCCGTGTCTACGTTAAAATATTGCGTGTAAGACGAGATGCTGAAAAACCCCTTCCAGTTGTTTGATGGTTGTTGTTCACCTCCATCTGCAAATACAGAATATAGCTTATTTTTAGCTGATTAGGAGGAGAGTATTTAGTTAATAAGCAGAATCATTTTAGTAGTTTGATACGTAAAACAATTTGGTAGTAACAAAAATATTTAATTCTCACAAGTAAAACTCAGCATAATGCGCAAAAGAACATCATTTGTTGTTTGGGAAAGTGAGTGAAAAATAGAGACAAGGCTAAGACAGACTTAACATATTTTCTCTACCTAAATGCCTAAAACCAATACATCGGTTCTCATTTCCACAACTGTATATTATGACTACTCATCCTATTAAATTTCAACAGTAAAAGAGGTGGAACATTCAGCAAGAAACGTGTTCTTGGACACATAAACTACCCGCCAAAGCCTAACAAGTAACTATGAGTTTAGGGAACATTGATCTACAATACAGAATCTCGATGATCACAATTGCTTAGAGAAAATGTGTAGCTATTTCTACTTATAAGCTAACCGTGACAATTAGTACCCCGAAGTAGCAGTAAATCTTCAAAAGCTAAATCCAGAACAATAGTTCAGATAAAAAGAACGCTAAACAAGTTCTACAAAAAAAAAAAATCAACTTATTTCAGGTTATTGACAGATATGCTTTCATTGCAATGGATGAAGCTCAGCGGCACTACAAAGATCCTTCAGCAGTCATTTTCCACAAAACAAGCTAACTAAGTAAAGTATGGCCAACACTATATTGTACACATTTATTCACAACAAATTTGACTCCTGCTTCACTATGTCCGACGATAAGAGGGATATCATGAGAAAACGAATTCGTGAACTGAGAAGATAAATAATTCATAACTCATCGGTCTACATATATGAAGTATGCTATGTTTCTCTTTGAGTGGAAGTTTACTTTGCTGTCCGGGGAGACAAAATTTCAACCTAGTCTAGCAGGGTTTACTTGCAAAAGCATAAACATAAGATCCCTTGCCCTTTACCATTTCTTGTTCTATCTAAATTCTTAATTCGCAGTCATAGGTCATTGTCACCTTATCTTCCGGAACACTAATGGTTATTTGGATCATTAGACAAAACTCAGAAGCAAGTAAAGTTACGACTCAAAGATTTGCCTGGTTAATAACAAAGTGATATTGACAATCACATTAAAACATATAAAAAATTCTATTTCTCAACTAGTAAAGCATGTTTCATGATCAATTATAAACCAAGAAAAGAAAAAGAATGAATCCTATTACATACCACTAGGAGCAACAAGAGTTTGATATCCTTGACTATTGGGAGGAAATATTTGCAAGTTTGCAGGAACTGCATGGAGTTCAACAGTTACATTAATGAATCAAATGTTACATTAATGAATCAAATGTTCAGTAGAAAAGATTAGTGAATATACGCGAAAAATTTGTATAAGATTGTACCTTCCGGGCTAGAGGTTTTCTTATCTTCGGTAACAACAGCCTGCAAAAACGCAAACCAATTTTACCACATAAGAACAAATTAGTATATTCTTTACAAAACAAATTAAATACATGTCGTTTACATATAACGTTCAACAAAAAAGACCGACAATAAAATCAAGCTCATATGCGTAGGGGTATAAAACAATTTCCCATATTGGAAAGAAAAACTACCACATTTGGAAACTGAAAATACTATTGGAGTTGAAGGAATCTATTAGAGTAGAGTCAAATAAGATTCTGTTCTTCAACGGTGACTACCTTCATGCACCAAGATTGAACAAAACACACTTCATTTTTAACAGTACCCAAATAATTTTCTCCATAAATCTTCCTCCAAAAACTTAACACAAACACCATTCAAGAATCGAGAAAATAGATAAGGAAATTCCTAATAAATGACAGAGGAAAGCCCAATAAATGAATTACCCAACAATTTCTATATCGCAATGCGATGAGTAAATTCACAAACCCAGGCCAAATTGAACGATGATCGGCCCAAACAACGAAGAAAAGTATAACAATCGAAAAGCATAATTGCAGAAACATGCCGACAAAATTGATCACATATATACAGCAAAATCATTCGAGAAATTCGCGATGGCGTACCGGAACGGAGCCGAGGAAGTGGCTGGTGGCGGGATTGGAAAAGGATTCTTC